TGAATCTTACTCGCTTTTGTCTTGATATCCAACATCGATTGATTGAAATGTAAATGTACTGTAATTAAATTGAAATGACATCTTTAACTATTAGCACAGTGAGATCCTCGGCTGAGGTCTTTTGTCTGTTCCAGAGCACAAAGCGTTTGCAACACGAGGAAACCAGGTCGGCCATGCCAGCGACGTCTTTGTAGTCCCTTCTTAAAACATACTGTCAATTGGAGAGCATTTCCTGATTTTACCAGATTTTTACTTCCCTTCGGGCTGTCTTTAATTCCCCTTAAAAAACACATCTTTACAGTTTCTTGCACTATTGATTTTTATGCACCCAACTCTGTTTTTTTCTTTATTTTGCTGCCCTGAGAAGCGATTTATAACTTGGGTTGTGAAAAGCGCTCTATAAATAAATGTTTTTTTTATCTGTATTATTAAAACAGCATTAAAATATTTGAATCTTGTTTATCAGCGGCTGAGGAGTTGCTACATCCACTATCATTTTTGGCACAGTTATCAAATGGAGAGTGAGCTTTGATGGCAAGAAATCTCAGCAATGTCAAGACTTTAAAAATACCACATAACAAAAAAAAAAAAACCCTGAGGTTAAAAATCTGATAATAGTGGTGATTTACTGGACGTATTTCAAACATAACATGAAGGAAGGCATTTGATTGAAAAAAGTTGTTAAATTAATCTGCATCTGTTACAGGGTTGGATATTTTAGTTAAAAAACAATACATGTCAGACCTCTCTGGTGGGGAAAAAAAACCATTACATAATGGTTTCAAAAATGTATTTTTGCCACTTTTGTAATGAAAGAAATCAATCACTGAGATAACATCTGTTGAGCTCAAATTGATTTAGATCTTGTCAATCTCCAGATATAAAATGTTAAATGGGGACCGTAAAAATGTCACGATGATGAACTGTTGATTGTGAAAATGCTCAGCATGATACAAAAAAAATATCATTTAAATAAGACGTGTGTTAAACGGATCAACATGAAATCATTTAGTCTACAGTCATGCTAGTGACGATGCTAACAAGCTTACGATCGTTACAGTCCCTCGAGGGGAACTTCAGCGTCTGCACCAAATTTCATGACAGCTACTCTATTTCTGACATCCTCCATACCGCTGCTGCAAAACCTCGAAAGTATTTGCAATTTAAAGGCTCAGAGATGCAATGCTGGCTGTTGCAGCTGAAGCTGCAGAGTAACAGGTGCACCGAGCTGGACAGTAAAATCACAGGGCGCTGGGACGACTGCATGCAGGACAGTGCAAATCACCAGTCTGAGAGCAGGTGGAAGACAGGAGCTTAGCCGGTAATACGAGGGTTCAACCGGGACAAAGGTGTAGTCTTTTTGTTTGAGTAACCCTAAACAAAGTGGGTCAGTTTCCGTTGAACAAATGCTCTGTGTTTGATCCTGCTTCCTCCCTGCTGAGCAACTAAATTGCTGCATAATGTTTGAATTTAACATCTGGTGTATCCTGTATTGCATTCACCTCGGTGTTGAAGACTTCCTCCTCTGTGCAACAACATTTTCCAAATCTGTGTTGCTTATCTTTGATGGAGGTTTGGGAGAAACAAACACTGACAGGATAACATCTGAAGGAATTTCCTGAAAAACTGTAATGACTTTCTGTGTATCCTCACATCTCTCTCTCTTTTTTTTTTTTTTTTTTTTTTTGCGCAGCCTGTGGAATCGGCCCGAGGCTTGCGGCTGGGGCTTTTTTTTTTTTTTTCCTTCTAATATGCAAATGTCAGGATGAGACAACAACAAGTGGAACTGTAAAGTATTAACTGTAAAGGTCAAATCATGAAGCCTGCTGGCAGTGTCATGCTGTGCTTTGCAACCACTCAGCCCTCTCTGCTTGTTCTGCTTCTCTGCATTCCTGCTCCTCGCAAGATCGATCCGATGCTTATCTGTCAAGGTGGTGAGTAATTCCTACCATCACAAAAGATGGGAGCAAACGGAAAAAACAACCACCGCTGACATTCCAGAGATATTCCTCCCAAGTGCATTGCATCTGTGTGGAAAAATGTTATTGCATGCACTCGGGCCTTGTTCGGAAAAGTACACAAGTTCTCTGTCACACAGGGCTTAACGGCCTTATTAGAGCATATTTAGGAAAGATTTCCAGCCACTGCAGGTGAAGAGCGTCCAGACATAGCTGAAATTAGTCAGGTATGTAGGTGGTAATATGGCCTACATGACCTCAAGAAACCAGACAGGTAAACAGGAGTGGCGTGTCCTTTCATGTTCCACACTGCGGCGCATGAGTATCTAATTTAGAGATGAAAATTAAATAAGCTGCAGCTGAAGTATGTAAACTCAAGACTTGTGAGGAGAATGACAAAACCCGCACAGTGTAAAACATGGCGCGTGTAATTATCTGCGGCAAACATTACATGTCCAAAGCCACCGAGAGGGTGTACTCTCAAACAAACTGCGAACGAGAATCGCAAACTAAGTGCTTCACACTTCTCGTCAGATTCGTTTTGATGGACAACATTCGTTTCTCAGAGGACGTGATGTCACCTCTGCTGCAAATAAGAGTTAATATGCATACACAAGACTACAACAAACCACTTGTAGGCATCACCTGGCGCTAAGCACAGTAAGTATGTGTGTATGTTTGGAGGCTGGGTGGAGGTCATGGAAATGTGAGGCATCATTAAGCTGTCACACATACAGTAAAGGTTCATAGTTTCTCTGTGTGGCTGAAGTCAGGCGCCAACTTCCCCGATGTGTCACTACAACAACACACACTTCAGCTCCCGTTCGCACTCGGGGCCAAAGGGCTTTATTGCCCACTTTTTTTTGCGAAAAAAAAAAACCCACACGGGAACAAATATTAAAGCTGCAATTAAAAGAAAAAATATCAGGTTTGAGGTCTGTTATGTATTTTGTGGTTTGTTTTGCTTTTAATCAGCATAAAGAATAGTGCACATGAGAGAGGCGATTTTGTTGTAGAAACTGTTTTTTTAACAATTTAATTTGTTCTGTGGAAAATTGGCTCCGTTTTTTGCAGCGCATTTAGCTGATCTCTCTACTCTTCGCCACACACTCAGCAGTAAGTCACCAAAACAACTCAGCAGCTGCACAACCCATGACGTTGGTACAACCTGGCTTGGTCAGTGCTCCGGCACTTCTGCGGTTATTTAGTCAGTGTCAGCCTTTCATCCTCCCCTTTGCCCTACCTGACTCTGCACTCTAGGTTTCCTCCACAGAGTGGTGAGTTAGCAGGGAAGGAGCCTGATGTAAGCGCTATTTGATACACTGAGGTTTCCCCCATTGAAAGTTAATGGGAATTCCTTTGCTAGCAAGATACGTAGCTGTGCAGAACAGCCACTGTGCTGCAAAAAAAAAAAAAAAAAAAAGACAATCCTGTGTCCAAGAACAATTGGCTCATTGTAGCGAGTTAAAGGTAATGACAGAGAAACTGGAGACTGATGTAAACAAAGATTATATCACTCTAACAGCAGAAACGTACGCCCACATAACGGCACGAGACGCCTTCCAGTTAAAACTGCAGTCATTTCAAAGCAATAACACTGACAGCAACAGCCTATCTTTGTTTAGCCCAAGCACCGAAACAGCACACCAGTGAATAAATATTATGCCCATGCCAGCTCGCTTATGTGGTTACTTTAACTGATATGCTGCCATGTTTTACACTCTAATAAAACCTAATTGGGTTCCAATTCAGAGAAACACATAAAGCACCTCACACATATCTTTGCCCCAGGTGTAAAATCAAATTTGTTACTTTCAGTGGAGCTCTGTGACCGCAGACCTCACCACACAGCCACTCAACCACATGCCTGTGCCTACTGGCAAGAGCAGTTCCCAACCACTGAACACATGTACTGTACGGCAATGCACTTTGCCTTACATTACATTTATAGAGCTGCCCCACCGATCTCTCACAGACTGACCGGACGAGGCTGCAAAGCAATATCAGAAATCCTCTCTCCCTCTCTCAGATGCTGCCGTGGACCTGTGGCACGAAGGGCACCAACGTTCATGTGTGTTGGTGAGATGAAGAATGAATCTTTAAACCACTCCCCATTTGAGAAGATCAAAGTGTCGAGCTCAAACACAAGATCACACCCACACAGTCTTGTGCAGCTACCAAGATCACAACCCAGTCAAGTCCCAGGGAGTATCTACTGTAGGTGGAAAGGCTATATGTGAGCAGAATTTGCCACAATATTAGAAAATCTGCTTGACTTTCCCCTGAAGCAGAGGACTTCAACACCCAAAACAAAAAAGAATTTTAGGAAGAAGCTGAACTCTGGCCAAGAATATCACGCTGCGAGCGACCAAAGAGTTTAGAAAACATGACATCACAGTGAGGAAAAGCGAGAAGCTTGCAACACATCTGGCAGCTACGCATAGTTTAGCTGTTGATGACTGTCAAGCAGATGGATGAACAGTTCACCTTTGGAGCTCTGCTTATTGAGGCTCTAAAGTCGTTAGCAAGTAATTATCAAATACCTACGCAGCTCTGCAAGAGACACATTTTTCTAGGCAGCAGCACTGCATCTGGCCAAGTGCAACAAAGGCATACTACTGATATTCAGGAGATAAAAACACTTCTGCCAACAACTCTGCCAGTAATCTGCAGCACACAGCAGTCAGTACAGTGGGGCTCAAATTGCAACCACATTTTTGAAGACATAAGCTGTCTCATGAGGGCAGAAGACCTTAAATATTCTGGAAGATTAAACAAAAAAAATCACTTTTCATGATGAAAATGTGGCAGCCATCCCTTCTCTCAAACTTATTTCATGGTCACAACTCCGGCCCTGCTGACAGAGGCCAATTTCTCTCTTGAGGAGCTTGTCAACACCGTTTCCTGAGATAACCATGTGTTTACACCATGTGTGGGTGTAAAGCAGTAAAAAAAAAACCCAAAGGCTCCCTTTTCAAGGTTCTTCCTATCATCATATATCCAAACAGTGAGGGGGAGACGTCCCTGCGCTGCTCGTCTTACCTCTGCAGAGGTTCTGGTCATCTGCAGTGAATCCGGGTGCACAGCGAATGGTCCGGCCCCCCTGAGGGACCCTCTGCCCGCCAGAATTCACCCGAGGGACCTGAGGCTGGCTGGGTGGGACGGCGGGGGCAGGAGGGACCGGGTCAGGCAGTGGCACCTGCTCTCCTTCCTTACTGATGTAGATGACGGCGCTCTTGGGGAGGCAGAGGTATCCGCCAAAGTGGTTGATACACTGCATCCCTCCTTTGCAGGCATCATCTAACAAGGCACATTCGTCGATGTCTGACAGGAGAAAGAAAGAAATTAGATACAACATTGTCTATGAAGTTACACTAAGCTTACATGGATATATATGGAAAATAAAGCCAGAATCAAACACATTAAGCATAAAAAGCTGCACAAATATGCCAATGCAATTTGTAATTTCTCACCTCTGCACTGCTCTCTGCTACTGTCATACTCATAGCCCTCTGTGCACTGTAAAGACATGCAACAAAACACATTTTAGGGTCCTGTAACACACACAACATGAACCCTTAGTTCTCCATCAGTAAATCGCAAACTCGCCGGGTTGTGCTACACACAAGACGAACTGGTGAAAAATCGCTCACTCACTGTGTAGGAGATGGGCTCCTCAGCCTCCTGAGAGAGAACATGTGTGAACACCGCACAAAGACACACGCAGATCCCCAGCATGTCGACCCAGCGTCGGAGAAGAACTGTAACGAGATGCAGAGGGACCAAATGGATAGCCAGAGCGTGCAAGATCATTTTTTTTTGTACTTGACAAGCCTACAAGTTTTAATACCAGTTATTACATCATTGATGGCATTGCTTAACGAGTCCCAACATCTCCCGCTGCTGGCGTGATGTTTATGTTGGCACCGCTCCAGGTAAATCTGCGACTTCAACTAAGTGAAGTGTTTTTCTGCTGTTTTTCTCCAAAAGGATTAGTGCGTAATACGCGTAAAGATCGTGCGTAAACATGTCCTCGTGTGCCAGTCAGTGTCAAGAAAATGAACGAGTTAATCAGCCATGCGGAGCTCGTGTTGATTAAAATTCTGTATCTTCACAACACACGTCCAACTTATCAAGCTGCCTAATCACACGTATGCGCGTTTTTCTCGAATCTGCTTTGTCCATCACAGGCTCGCTTCAAGATACAGACACTTGTTACTGAACAACTCCCCAAAACATGCTGCCTACACCAGAAACAAGTGACACTAGAGATGTTTTTCCCTCTCAGTTGTTTCAACATCAACACTGACAACAGATTTAGCGGCTCCTCGCTGTATTGGTTTCATTGTTATTTGATAATAACGCTTCATGCAACTGCTTTGTCATCCCGTGGCGCCTTGGCGACTTACCTGCAATTACCTGCGAATATCCAACACTGCTGGCGTGCTGAGGAAAACTTGCCCGGTTTCAGTGTTGCTGCAAATCCGAATCTGCGCGAAGCAGGCTGACTTTTGCCGTGCAAACGGTGCAGTGGATGTTAGATGTTTGGCGGAGTGCAGGCAGCACTTGTGATGAACATGCGGTTAGTGCAGTATGACATACTGGGGGGCGGTGTACCGGGCAGGTTGAGCTCCGGGGTTTTCTCTCACCGGGGTGCAGTCAGCAGGTTACACTGGCTCCCTCTATAGACTGCTGAATATTAAGGAAAAATGGGTCATATCAGAAAAGCAGATAATAGATCATTATGATCAGAAAATCCTTTGATGTTACTCTAAACTGATCCTGCATGTGTAAACTCATGAGAAAACATTCCCAGCTTTCTAAAAAGCCAAAGTAAACGTTAAGATTTGCAGTTTGTTTCTGCTTTGGGATCACATGCAATAGACTATTTAGTTAAGGTTTGATCAAATGTGTTTCCCCATGGAACCAAATGTTGTATGATTTTAGTTTTTGTTTCCTTGTTTTGTTTTGTTGTTGTTGTTTTGTTTTGTTTTTTTTGGGGGGGGGGGGGGGTAAAATGCATTTACATAAGCTTACACCAATTCTGTGTTATATTTTCAGAATGAGCTTTCATAACTTTGGGGGTTGTGACATGCAGATCCTGTGAGACCTCAGTTGCTGTGTGGAAGTACAGTATGTGTGAGCAGCAGGTGGTAAAATCAAATCTTGTGTTGAAGACCTCTGTCAGCGACCACTACATTAGCCTCTAATACATTTCATGGTGTTTACAAGATGCCTGCGCTTCAGGAACATCTGCTGGAATTGGCATGGCTTCCTGGATTTCCCATGGGTGAAGAGACAGCAAGTGATTGTGTGTGTGTGTGTGTGTATGCATGTACGTGTGCCAGCAGCTTGCTGATACGAGTGGATTGAAATGGACTTGGCACCGCCTCCTTCAATGGTGACCTTCTGACCTCTCCTCACAGGGTGTGAACAAGAGGATAACAGATTTTTCATGGTGCAATATCATCAAATTTTTCTTGGAAAAAGATTGTTCTTTTCCAAGACACTAAACCAGTGTTTAATCCTTAATGTGAATATTTAACTTGTAATCAGGTTAAAAGCATGAAAACTTCCCAGTCGTGATATTCATGTTTTCTCACCTCATGGATGAATTCATCAACACAGAGTACAGCGCGTGGACATAGAATATGCAAGTACATAACTGTGCAAACAAACATGAATGACCCAAAGAATAACTTTGCGAAAGGCTTTACTCTTCACTAAAAGTTTATTTTACTTGGCAAGCTATTCAACACACGCATAAAAAGGCAGAGACATTGAGAAAAAGCACCTGATTAATCAAAGCCATTTTTAAACAGTTTAGAGAGATTAATAGAAGATTTTTATCCAAGACTGATGAAAGAGAGGATGAGACAACACTCCCCTTAGTCCTATTCCTCACTGGAACCAAATTAGACAGTCACGCTTTCAAATCACAGAAGCGAAGCTGAGGTGGGTGTGTCCCCATCATGGAAACAGTGTATGGTTCCCCTGGGTGCACCTCTAGGTATGAGAAAGTCTCCACATAAATGTTACTGAAGTTAAAGCAGACGATCCCTCACACTGATTTTACAAAAGCATTGATCTAATTGAAACAAATGCATTAAAACGATATTCATAGAAAAAGTTAGTGTGCAAGGAAAACATGCTAAAGTATGACCTCAAGTGACCCAGGTGTTCTATCTGGGCTTTGGTGAACAAGAGAGCAACATGATACACATTTAAATGTCAGAGTGATGGATTGAACCTGAGCTTAACGTAAGTTCTGCTCCGAGTTTCACAACATTTCTGTGATCATCATTACCTAATCCCTCAGCCCACAACAGTGACTAATATACACACAAACATTCATTCTGGGGTAAGCATCTGGCAAGTGTGGAAAGAATATTGCTAAGAATGCATTTATTGTCACTGCTTGCACCCAAGGCTAATATGCTAGTGGAGCACATTTTTAAGAGGAGGAAAATGAGCCAGCATTGTGACGTTTCTTTCGATGCTGAAGGCAATGCATCAGGTACTGTTGGCAATTGAGTATCAGCCAATCAGTTCCTGATGCAGTATCATCCACATCAGAAAGCTCTTCCTTTGGCCCAACATCAGTGCAGGGCTAACTGAAGCAGAATAATTTACAACACATTTTGGTCTCACTGCAACATGTCCTAGTGGTGAGAGAAGTGATGCAAAAATAACCCAAACACGTAAAAACAAGCCATTATTATTCTTTTCATCCTATGATAATACAATAGCCACTACTGTACAGTACACATCATCGTAAGTCAAGATGGCAGCAGAAGCATCTGGAAAGTGAATTCATGCAAATTCAAAATGGGCATGCATTATGAAAGAGCTGCAAGAGATGAGGCTGCACTTCAAAAGACTGTCAAAAAGAAATTTTTAAAAAGTGGGGAAGGGGGATGTGAGAGAAGGAAGAGCAGACAGAGAGGGTGTCTGTGAAACGGGCTTGTGTAATTGCAGTGACATCTTCATTGAGAGTCCTCCATCTCTTTCCTGTGTGCTCCAAAGGGCGTCGTTGACGCCGGTCGATGTGGGGAGCAGCCGAGGCGCTGTGTTTAGCATAATCCCAGAGGCCATTGTGAGAGCAGCTAGTGAACGACTCACAGTTGCCAGCTGAGATTTCACCAAAACACAGCAGAACACAAGGAGAAGGGGATGAGACAGGAAAATCAGAGGCGGAGGAGGGGTAAATTTGGGAAAAGAACTCTGGCAAAAGACAGGATTGGTAGTAGTAATGAAGAAAAAAAAATGCATATGTGCCGAATATTGAATTACACGGATTCTGAAGAGAAATATTTTGTGTATAGTAGCTGTAGGATGGGGGTGGTTGTGGTCATCTGGGCTGACTGTGCAGCTTTCACAGCATCAAAGAGGTAAAGTATGAAACACATTTTCTTCCAGGTGGACTGCACCTGTTGGCCCTTATTCAGGACTGTAATTCAACAACCATCCCCTTTTCTTCCTTTAAACAATCACTAACTGTTTTGACTTGAAACAGTCAGGCATAAAAAGATTAACTAAAACTGTCAAATGGAAACACCTCTTCTATTGTGCAATGGTCATTACCTCAAGCTAGAGTGTGAAACCCTCTTTGATCACAGTTTCAGGTAGGCAGACAGTTTTTGAGCCAACCTTTGGTAAACAATGCAGTCTCCGTCTAACATACTGCAGAAAAGATGAACAGCGAAATGTGTTACTCACAGAACGGCAAAGACTTCTTCACAGTTTTTGTTGTTCGTGATACTGAGAATTAAGATGGAACAAGGACACAGTTTAAGGGCTCATTTTATCAAGTTTTTTAAGGCCTACCAGACAAACTGCAGAATCTCTCCAGGTGATTGTGAGAATCTAAAGCACCATCACAGTTGCCTGCAGAGATTACGCAGTCAGCCCTTAGATTTCTCACTCGTGTCAAGTCTCACTCACACACACACACACACACACACACACACACACTGATCTGTGGTGGGTACGTGTTATATTTATAAGAGTCAATTGGCAGCAGATGGCTAACACCGATCAGGATAAAGACAGAGCTTTGACCCCCTCCCATCGTTTCCCGAAAGGTCTTGTGTTACCATGGTGACTAGGCCAAGGCACGTGCCTCCCATTGTTGATCCATATCCTCCAGGGTCAGCCACACACCCAGTTAGAGGTCAGATGTCACCCCGGCCCCTCACTCAGGTCACCACTCACCAGCCTTCAGCCTTTGACCTCAGCACACACTGAAACAAATTGAGAGATGGGGAGAGGGGAGAACGAGATGACACAATTAAACATATTTACTCAACAATTCTGTATGACCGCATGGATCCAGGGTATTCTGACAACTTAAACTGAACTACCGGCTGGGCTGCAGGAGTTTTGAGTGCAGATTTACAGTGTAGTTCTTGGGGGAAAATGTACAGTGTGGTGGAGAATCACGCTGCATATTACAGTATGTCTCCCTCTTGTGGTGAAGCGTGATACTTTGAAAAATTACATTTTACGTGGACTTCGTTCAAAGATTGGAACAAAAATACAGAATACAGGGCATTCTGGTGACCAAGAGGTTAAAACCATAAAAATAGAATGTTATCTGTTTGACTGTCATCTGCCTCTTTTTCCCAGTGTTTCCTGCCTACATGAATACTGTATACACACTATATTATCTACTAAAGAGCAGAATACAAAAAATGCATCACACTGAGATTTACTGACTCAATGCATCAAAATATCAGATATATATGATCCTTTAACCCTGGATGTGTTTTTGATAGTCACTTAATGCTGGATTCTAACAGAGAACTTAATTTTACACGTGACATGCGCACATATTAATACACACTCATGCATACATGCTGTTGAAAAAAACCCTTTGTCCCAGCCTTATTATGTTTAATTAACGAAACACTATCAGCTACCGCGGTTTAACTGACCACAGAAGACATATGTCCACACATTTTGGTAAGTCTTTCGCCAGAGGTGCCATCTTTTCCATTGAGCCTGGATGTATGTTGGGATATTCAGGTCATCGAGTTGCAAAGTGTTGCTCAGGCGTTGACAAAAGAAAAATCTTAAGTTTATTAAACGGAACAGGCTGACAGTCCACACTTTGTTAGGCAGTGAATGAACAGAGTGGTTTTGACAGGCCTAACCTCTTAAGCTTCGGGTCCCACTGAGCTCAGCACAGCTAGAGCTAAATGCCATCTGTCCCAACATCATGAGGCCCCCCAACCTGTCCCCCTACAGTTTAGCATAAAATCATGCAATACTGCTATTAAGAAAGAATATAGGATCATTCTAATCATATGATATTAAGTTCCAAAATAAAATTTAAAAAAACACCTAGTCTATTTTTCAGGAAAATGTTTTAAGGTTGTCCAGGTTCAAAGCAAACAATAGCATTTGTAATCCACTTCATTTGGTTTTCAAAAGGAAACGTGTAAAGAATATGCACTATGGAATATCAGCAAAACAGCTGTTTTTGAAGACTTTGATAAAAGTTGCTGAGTAGTTGTTTCTTTTAATAAGTTTACAGGCTTTTGTAAATTTAAAATTTGTCCTCTGTTGTACTTCCCTCCC